TAATGAATTGCTAATTATAGTGTAGTTCTTTTATTACTCTAATTTTTTTTCATAATTTTTTGGCAGTGGTGAAATGTTTTAAGAAATTGGCATCTATAAGTGCAAGTTTGATTTTTGAGACCATGAGGTGTCCGTTTTGCAAACTGATTTTACTAAAATATTCTAGACATGATTAGTTAATTTATAATTTTTTTTTAGTTTTAAGATTCCCATATTTGAGGATATAAAGGAATTTAGACAGATTTAGTATTTTATTTTAAATAAAATTTTAATATTTTAATATAAAAATCATTTTCCACTAAAATAAAGAAGTCTTTTAAATATCATTAAGTAGTTCATTTCCTTCAAATCTCCAAACAAAAAATTGCTTAGGGATTTAGGGAAGAAAGAGAGGTGAGAGAAAACAAAAAATTCGATTTGGGGAGACTTCGAGCCGTCTACGTCCGTCGACCCAGCTGTGAAAATTATTTGTTTTGAGGTAAGTCACATTATGCTTATCTCAGTTGTCAAAAATATGTAATTTTTAGCTAATTTTTTTATTAATTATTTTGTTTTAGAAAAATGCGGATAACTTTGCACTAGTAAAACTTCCATCGCGTAACTTTTTTTATGTTATATAAATTACCATTATGCAAATTTTGAATATTTTTTGAAAAATTTTATAAAGAATGTTTTAAAATTTGTGAGGTTTTTATTGAATAAAAAATTGTGTGGATATTGAAAAATAGTGATATAGTATAATAAAAGTCATACCTATAAGATGGTAGTGAGGCCTGCAATGCTTTATGGTGCCGAATGTTGGCCTTTAAAAGAGAAGCATAATACTAAGTTAAGTGTGGCAGAGATGAGGATGCTCAGGTGGATGAGTGGCTTTACCCTTAGAGATAGGATACGAAATGAGCATATACGTGAAAAGGTTGGAGTAGCTCCAGTAGAAGATAAGATTAGAGAAAGTCGCCTTAGATGGTTTGGTCACATAAAACGGCGGCCTTGCGATGACCCGGTTAGGAGAGTAGAGGTATTAGATTTGACTTATGTTAAGAAAGGTAGGGGTAGACCTAAAAAGACTTGGTTAGAAAATATTAGGAATGACCTTTCTATATTAGATTTAAACGAGAATTTGACTTTTAATAGGACACAATGGAGAAAAAGGATTCATGTAGCCGACCCCACGTAGTGGGATAAAGGCTTGATGTTGTTGTTGTTGTTGTAGTATAATAAAAGTCATTAAACATCATTATATTTACACAATCCCTGAAATTTAGTAATTTTTAAAAATGTGCATTTTTGCCTAATAAGATTTTCTGTTCTCTACCATTATATAACTTCATGCCATTCTAATACATGCTCAATAAGTCTTTAACTATTATAATATGATAATATATACCTGTATAGTTAAATTATATATGCTGGGAGTTATAAGGGGTCAAAATTCTCTAAGAATCTATCTGTGTCACATAATTACTTGGAGTTATAAGGGGTCAAAATCCTTTGTGATTCTGTCTGAGTCTGAAAAATGTGATATGTTGTAGTACTATAAGCACAAAAAGGGAGTCATAAAGGGCCATTAGTCTGTATATAGTGATTTGTTTAAACTGCACTATTTATAAATATTCACCAAAATATTTGATAAAAAAATATTTGAAAATTTAGATTGGTTTGTGTGTTTTGATGAGCTGTTATAGCTCATTGTAATTTTACTTCTAGTTTTTAGGATTTGGAAAGGGGAAAGAGATTATGAATTAGTAGTTCAGGATTAGATATGAGATTATAGGTATTCATCTAATTTATTTTCTTATAGTCATGACTAGTTTATTATTTTGTTTTGTAGCTCAGCATGAATCCATGCACTGTAGTGTATATATATATTTTGATGAAATAAAAGAAACTCGGTGGATGAGTTTTTTTTTTTTTTTTTTTAATATTTGAATGTTTTAGTAACTCTTTAGTCTGTAGTTTCTTTCAATAAATATTGGAAGAAAATCTGAAATAATTCTAAAACTAGATCTTCGAATTTGCTTGTTACATATCAATACGTTAGGACATATCCTTATTGGGTTTAAAGGCAGACTAGAGAGAAGAAGAAAAAGAGTTGAATGAGGATATTTTTATGAAAAAAATAATTAAAATATTACTTCTAAGTTAATATAATATTAATTATTTAAATATTAGATTTATTTGAAAGTGGCCTTTAGAGTTATATAACTTTTCTAGGATTTACCAAAGGCTTTGGGTGTACTCAAGATTTTTAAGAAGATTTGACTGCACATAGGAAGCACGGGGCCTCACATTTAATCCTTAAAGGAGTAAGATTTAATTTGATTCAACAATATGTGATGTAAATAGGTATATACATATTTAATTGTGGATTAGTACATAATTAGTTTCTTGTCAATGTATGATTAAACTCTAGTTAATCTGACATTTACTGCATGATGTTAATCTTCTTAGAGGTCGCAAAATGTTTAAAATCATATATTTAATCTTTTCCAAAATATTTTCATGCTATTTTTACAATGTTATATTCAAAATAACCATAATGTTTGCACCTATCATATACGAAAAATTACACAATAAAAGTGTGATAAATAAATAGAAAATATAATTTTATTGATTTATGAGAGATTAATTTCCTTAAACTCAAAATCATTGAAAACAAAAAAGAGATTCACATTACTTTCAAAAATTAGAAGACTTCTTCTAACTGAAGCAAATGATAAAATTAGCTAAAAACAGATTTCTCATTCTTCCCTTCCTCTTTTTTCTCTCCCTTTCCCTCTCCTCTTCCACGACAAGGCACCTGAAAATGATAGAGGTGGAGGCACTGGGGGGCTTTAATGCTTGGGATTTTGAATTATATATATAATGGCTAGTGCCGCATCAAACTAATCCAACGTTGCAAAGCACCAATCTAAATCTGTAGCACAGCATGTTAAATCTTGAATTACTATAGGACAAAAGGTTCTAATGTCACGGTGGTAATTCATAGCACTGTTATGCTCTCAAGCCTAAAGCCCTAGTGCTACGAAACATCGCGCCTCTGTACTCCAATTTAAATAGATATTCAAATTTTTAATTTAAAAAGTTTTTAAATGTTCTGGATTCTTACAACTAACCTACTTCAATAGAATTTTTATGATAAAATTATCTATGGTTTAATAAAAAAACCCAATATAAGAGGTTTGGCCATATAGCTAGAATATCTAGTTAGAAATCAGTAAATATGGTTAGGGTCTTAAGAGATATTGGGAATTTTTCGAATATAATCCAAGCCCATCAAGCTAAACACAAGGATTCTCATGTTCAATTTATTACACCACTAAGTAATTTAGCTAATGAGAGTGACGGAGAGCTTAAAGCACCAACTGAATTTACGGGGACAAATTATGGTCAAGCCAAGAAAGAGGTATTTCTTAGAGTTGACTAAGGTCAAACCATTTTATGAGATTTGATTTGAATTGAAAATGATTTAGTGATGAATAATTAATATATTCCTCCAACGGTCTTTCCTAAATTCAACAAGATTGTATAGTTATTATAATGTTATACCCTATTAATATGAAAGTTTACTAAGAGAGCATATAAAATATTCTAAGTTGGCTCAAACGCACCTGATATTGACAAATTTGAACCCAACCTATGTATTAAGTGGGTCAATCTGAATTAGGGATTTTCGTACCTGGCCTAGGTTTGATTTTTTTTGTTATGTCATATATTGACACCCATAAAGGCTAGAGTTATTTTTCAAGATACTGCGTTAGAATCACATGCATACTTTACGCTTTATAATTTATCATTCCGTTTGGAAAGTTTGCATTTTACGACAGACTTTACGGTGGAAATTTTTTGTCAAAAGATACTATGAATTTGCAACAAAAATTTTGGTTGTTTTATTTGCAGCGACTTTGCAGTGGAATTGTGGTGAAAAGTCTACCGCAAAACCAAAAAAAATAAGAAACTGTTGTAAACCTGACACAAACTACCATATCTAACCGACTAATTAGACATTTGTTTAATTTATTATCCTTGCTCTCTCGATCTCTCTCCTCCACCCTTCAGCTCTTAGACTTCACTCGCCTCCTTCGATGACAATTCTTCCTGTCGCATCTGAAGTCCCACTTCCTCGTCATTCTTCTTCTCAGCTACAGTCTCACCTCCATACTGTTTTTCTTTTAAGCCGATGTAGCACCTCAATCCCATTTTTTCTTCAAAGCTGAGGTCCCACCTCCTTTGGAACGACAATATTTTGTGACGGATTTGAGTGAGAAATTCCATCGCAAAATGAAATTTACGACGGATTTAGTTTGTTTTGCAAAAATTTGCGACGGTTTTGACCTCTAAAATAAATTATTATTTTTATTTATAGGCAATTGCAAAGGGCTTACAATATTTGCTTTCAAAATTTCTAAATGTTATTTTGAGTTATTTAAAAAATAAACATAAAAAATAATTAAAAAAACATACCAAACAAACATATTTTAAAAATATAAATATAAAATTATAAATTAAAATGATTTTATAATAGGCAAAATCATATTATTATGAGATTTGTTTCTAAAATTTCATATATATTTCTTCTTAAACCAAAGCATAATTAGTAATCTTCTTAAACTAGCTACGAGCAATTTCTGATCTCTCAAAGCTAATTTATAAACTGCTACGTTGAAATTGAATGGTGGAATCAAATCACATGAAATTGAATGTTGAAAAGAAGCGGAAGCAGAAGAAGAAGGTTTCTTATTTTATATATAAGTAATACATATATCTCATGACAATTAAGCTCATCAAGTCACACATTATTTCATCGAATGTTACTTATATAACATGACATAATATTGACCATTGCCGAGTCTTATTCTTTAGTAGTCTTAGCTACGAGAAACTTTTATTTATGAGGAAGGATAATAACTGAAAGTAGCCACTTCCACATCCCTCTATTATGGACTACACCACCACCATAAGGATGACGGCCAAAACAACCTCCTGCTTATACGCTGTCTTTAATGGCGGTCTCCTCCGTCGCCACTGCCATATCCACCGCCACCATAACCACCTCCATCGCCACCGCCATATCCACCACTACCATCACCACCGCCATCGCCACCACCATACCCACCACCACCATCACCACCGCCATATCCACCGCCACCATCACCACCGCCATCGCCACCACCATACCCACCACCACCATCACCACCGCCATCTCCACCGCCATATCCACCACCACCATCGCCACTGCCATATCCAACACCGCCATCGCCACCACCATATCCACCGCCGCCATCGCCACCGCCTTCGCCACCGCCATATCCACTGCCACCATCACCTCCGCCATCGCCACCACCACCTCCATATCCATTGCCACCATCTCCACTGCCATCTCCACCACCACCATAAGGTAAGGGACGTGCGACATAAGAATTATTTCTGTCATCCTCTCCTTCGTCGCCGTTATCAGCTATGTGGTAGCCAGAACTTGATTTTGGCTTGCTATCCTCCTTCAAGGTCCTTGCGAAGGAAAGGCAGAAGCTAATGCTAAGTAGAACTAACAATGCAAGAGCATTGAACTTATTGCTTGTATCCATTGTGGTTTATGGAATGGTGGATGAGAGGCTGTGGTGGCCGAATGAGCACTATTTATAGCTAAGGACTTGCTCTATCAATCACACATTCATTAAAGATGGGTATCACTCTCAACCTCTCAATGGAAGAGATAAACAAAATGTTCACTAAATTAAATTTGAAAGAAAGATAATAATATTAATTATATTTCACTATATAATTCTTTATAAGAAAGAATTTTGTAAATAAATCATGTAGAATTTCAGGACTCATAGAAATATCATCAAAAGGCATGAAAAAAAAATGAAGATTTTAAACCCTCTTCATATTAAGCCATGAAAGTCGATGATGAATTGAGGTAAAATGTACGATTTAACCCTTCAACAAACATAATATTATGTTGTGCAAACAAGTGAATTGACCTACAAAATACAAGATTCCTTAATTTTTTTAATTACCATTAATTTCCCATTAAATAATGAATGAAATATACATGAAATATATATTTTGTGCTCATAAGTTTTAACATAGTTTTTCTATAAAAAAGAGTTCTACAACATATGATGCTTCATTAGTTATGTGAGGGCATAAATATGCTATATTATAGAAAATGTCTTGATCTCATCTGCTTCTTAGCCCAATCAGTTCACTTAGTCACAATTGACTCAATTGACCCTTACAATTAATTTGACCAAATACAGCTCAAGCGATATTTGAAAACCATTTTAATTACTTAATCATTGGAACATTTGGGCTTAATTGACTCTTAAACCACCATGATTTGGCCAATATAATTAACTCATTTGCCTCAAATTGACCCAAATGGATCATATTGACAACAACCATGTCAAATTTTCTTATTAGTCGCATTACTTAAATTTTAATTACATGCTACAATTTCTTTTCTGTAAGATATTCTGACAAATATTTTAATTAGTCTTAAGCTCTCGAATTTATTTTAATATAAAAATTTTTAAGTAATAAATACTATATTAATTTTAAACTATATTTTAATTTTTTAATTAATAGAATTATCCTCAAATAATTGTTTTGGTCTTCGCTCTCGTCGACCTCGTTGTCCTTAGCCTACCTAAACCTCCAACTATGTAAACTTGACAATCATCATATCCTTCCAAAGAATCAACAATCAGAAAAAGAATGGAGAATTGATTTGCTATTTATTTAGTCTATATCTGACTCTTTTATTAGCTCGCTGAGAGGAGACTTGACTTCACTTCGAGACTTACTTATATAATTTTAAGTCTTCTTTATTAATAATATAAATGGCTTACTTTCTATTAAAATGATAAATATTATTAATACATTAAAATGCTAATTATATATGCCTCCTACTTGAATGTTAAAAATATAAAATATAAAATATAAAATATAATTAATTTTATATTAATAATTAGTAGAGAACGCCGACCACACTAACCTCCCTCAACTTTTATTCTAGGACAATCATGGAGTGATTTAAATTTTTAATTAAAGCCAATTGATGGAAGAAGATGATTTGAGATATTTTCAATGACATTTAATTTTTTCTTTTTATTTTTTTTTTTTAAATGATGAGCAATAAATCGTAAAGTATGTATGTGATTTTTACTTAGGATCTTCAAAAATAACTATATCCTTTTAGGGGTGTCAATATATTACATAACAAATAATTAGACCTAGGCCTGATATAAGAATTCCAAAGTTGGATCAACCCATTTAATGCATAGGTTTGGTTCAGATTTATTAATAACGAGTGGGTTAGAACCTACTTAGGATATTCTATATGTTCTCTTAATAAATTCTCATATCAATCCTCTTAGAAAATTCTATATGTTCTTTCCTACCTTAGCCCAAATATAAATCCTTCCTTAGCCTAAGTTAAAGTTGAGTAGGGTATAACCTTAGATTAATTATAGGATCTTGTTGTACTTAGGAATGACCATTGGAGGAATATATTAATTATTCATCACTAAATCTAATTTGTCCCACTAAACTCTGCTGGTGTTTTAATTAACACCTCCATCTCTCTCATTGGCTTAATTTCTTAATGTTGTAATAAATTGATCATGGGAATCCTTATGTTAGCCTGAGGGCTTTTGTTAGATCTATGATCAAAACAACCCCAATATCCTTTAAGACCCTTGGCTTATTTGGTGATTTTTAAGTAAATTTTCTAGCTACATGACCAAACCTCTTATATAGGATTTTTTTTATAGAACCATAGATAATTTGACCATAAAATTTCTATTGATGTAGGTTAGCTGACCTTGAACCCTAGCTTAACCTAATACGAATCAAGCAGGAAAAATGTAACATATAACTTATTATCGAATAAATGAAACTTGGTTAATCTCTTGAATAAGTTCTAATACATTGTTAGAAATTCAATAAATGCAAATAAACTTTCGGCAGAGTCAACTAGACCCATTAAACCAATTTAACACATATTGACCTATTTGATAATATATGATTAATTCTACAAATTTTACAAAATTATTTAAATTTATTTATTCCATTATCTTAGAAAAGTTTTAATTGGTCTATCATAAATTTCTTGATCCTAATAGTCTCATAATTAGGTCAATTGGTTCACTTAGCCACAATTGACTCGAATGACCCCCTATAGCCAATTTGACCTAATTCAGATTAAGCTATATTTGAAAAATATTTCAATTGTTTAATCATTGGTTGAATTGAGCTCAATTTACACTTATGCAACACTATTTGGGGAATTAGTGCCTTAACCTTAAATTAAGCCAAATGGACCATAAATTAAATCCAAAATCTCAAACCAAAACTCAAGGACAAAAGCCTATATCCAATAACCCTTTTTAGGCTTTTCAATCACATCACAACCAAAACAAATGACCTCTAATTCATAATCTTTTAGTTGTATATTGATTAGACATGTCTCTAGGGTCAACTCTCCAAATTTGAGAGCAATCCAAGCCCACTAATCCCTAAAGCTCAATTGATTTCTAGTGATTGTGAAACGTTTAAATATTTATAGCCCATGTCATTGGATCTTGCATCTTGTGGAAATTGACTTTGAGAATCTCCGCAAAACTCTTGAATAAGTCCATGATCACTCTCATGGCATGTTAAATATAAAATTGAACCTTTAATGGACTCTGGTTGACCATTGGCCCACTAAAACTTAAAAACCCTTAATTAAGGGAAAAAAAAGATCAATATTTCCCTTAAACTTCAACCTGGCCCAATTAAACTAAGACAAGAAACCTCCTCCAATATATTCCAAATATCATTTGGGATGCATTGAACCTAGACTCAAGACTTAATTTGACCCGGTTGACCAAAATTCCGCTTAAGAGTCCAAACATATATTTCAAATCAAATGACCTCACAATTGCATGAGATCACCTTCATAGGTCTAAAATATTATTTTAAACTTTTTGGACCTAATTCAAATTCTTGGTCCAGCTTGATTGACCAAGTCAACAATGGTTGACTCCAAGCATCATCAAACCAAATTAAACCCTCGAAATACCCAACATCTTTATGAGTGAACCCCATATTGATTTAACTTGGTCAACCCATTTGAAATGGTCAATCTCATGCATGCAATCAACCTTTCATGCGAATACCCAACCCTTGGCCTCAAATCCATTGGAGTTTATTCCTATAATATGCATGACCTTCCCAATACCTATCCCAGTTAGCATTAACTTGATCACTAGCGAACAAGTTAAATAAAAAATTGCAAAAAAAAAAAAAAACATCCAAGCATGGTCAAATAGTTAAGCATTGCCAAGAAATTCATTTCCCTCCAAATCAACAAGCATAACCCACTCAAATAAACACAAAATCCTTTCTAAACGTCTCTTAATCCAAGCCCAATTGATAGTCTAGCCAAAAGAGGTAAAATGTGGTCCCCTCCCTTCGTGGGAGCACACCCAAGCCACTCATATGCATGCTACCATTTCCTTAGCCTCTAACCATTTAAGATAGGTGACCTACTGAGAAGTTACACCAACAAATAAAATTGTTAGGCTCTTGGGCCAAAGCAAATATTATCTCAATAGTTAAGAGTTTGGGATATTACAAATCATATCAGAGCAAAATATCAACCAGAAAATGAGAATTATGTTTCATATAAGATAAAGTGACATGCCATAGGAGCCAACTCTTGAACCCTATATGGGATAAAGTGCTACATGACAGGAGATACCACTTGAGCTTATAGTGGCCACATCCAAAATCTTATTTACTTGATGGACAATTCTTAGATAAAGATGTTGATGAAGATGCCAGTTACTTAAGTTTGGAAGATTGTGAAATCCCTTAAGTAAAGAAGTTAAACTCTTAGACATCGAGATTCTTTTTGGTGTAATAATTAAAATTTTATTAAGAAACTCTATAGCTAAGCATGCTCATCCTGAGGCAATTTAGGGATGGGTAACTTACTAGAAAGTTACACCAACTAGAAAAATCAATAAGTCTTTTAGGCCAAAGTGGATAATTTCTCGATAATTAATAGTTTGGGATGTTACAATATATTTGTATTCATTTTTCAAAAATAATATACAATACTCATAATCTATATAACAATACCATAACTACTATGTCTGGAGTACAAAAGAACAGCTAAAAAAAAGAAACAGAACCTCAGAAACCTTAATCAATCTCACATTCTTGATCCTCTACCTTGACCTAAAAATATTTAACTACTATAATGAGCTCACAAGCCTAGTAAGCAACCAAATTCTATAACTAAACTCAACACAAGAAAAAGAAGAAATATGCATGTCACTAGTCAAATCATAATAATAACATTCACATGAATATAGGATAATATATTGGATAAATTAGTTAATCAGTGCAGCTGTCAAATCACCAATGAAATTGTAGTATCAATATTACAATCAATAGAAAAATCATATAAAATATCAAATCAAAATATTGATAAAAAATTATCGAAATCATATCGATATAATAAAATCATATAAAAATAATCGTATTCATGTATCACATGCTTAGAAATATCATATCAATGTCAACTCAG